ACACACTGTTTTTCACAACAGATGGTTTTTACAAACTTAGTATAAAGTTTCTTTCAAAGATCATTAAGAATTTGGATATGCATAGAGAGTTTTGGCGAAGCTGATTGTAGAAGGGTACTTACACTTTCAAAAAATCTTAATGGTACTTAACACAAAACTACAATATGCTTTGTTCAAATCCGGAGAAAGAAGATAGAAAATCCTTTCCTCCCGGCTAATAGAAGACTGTTTCTTCTTCCCTTCAACTTCTTTAACAAAGTTAACCGTATAGGAGTCTTCTAAGCATTTTCTTTTTAAAGGTTTTGATTCTGTGTGTTGGCTTTTCCCTTTTAAAGCATTTTGATTAGAAGCAAAGTTGGTTTTCGGAATCTTATATGCCAACAAATTTGATGGGATCTGTGGTTTCATTTTGGTCTCTTCGTGGAAATATTTTAGCAATGCATCCCACTGTTCAATAAACCTTCCTAGCGCTCTGCCTAAGGATAATCATTTCGTGCATACATGTTTCAGAATTTTTTCTCGTTTCACCAGAGCCAGTTCTTGGAAAATTCTTTAGGTTTTCTTTCCTTTTTACCCTTTTTTCCAGATAGAAAAACACATCAATCAGAAGCTGGTCATATTTAATGGTAAGCAGTTGCAGCTTTTCTGCTGCCAAATTAATTAAGTGGCATGGGCATCCAATAACAATTAATTCATTTTGTTATTTTTTGAGGAAAGAGGCTACACCCTTTTTGTCACCCACCATGACATGAGCATTATCTGCACCAAATGAAATGCAGTTTGATATTGGGATGTTAAGTTGTTTCAACTCATTAATTAGGAAGGAGGCAATATTTTCCCCCGTAGCGTCTCCATTTAACAATGGAAGATGCAAAAGATGAGTTTTCATTTCATTAGAAACATCACAGAAATAGGTGACAACGATGGGGTAAAGCTTCCAATCGCTATCGTTGCTGCCAGCGATTGACACCGAAAATGCTGAATTCTGGAGTGCAGCTATTGTTTTACTTTGTGCATCGCAAGCAATTTCGTTCACAATAGAAGATGTTTTCGTGCGAGCAAAAGCATATTTCTGAGCAATCTTGGAGTCGGGAAACATCCGCCTGAAAAGTTGATCGGCGTGATCGACAGCGCTTAGCGGCACATTGTGTTCGATGAGGAATGCAGTAAACAAACACTCTGCCAAAATGACATCGGCATCCGAATTCGTAGCCGAATTTGAAAAAAAAAAATCATCCACTTTCTTTGACGTTGTCGAAGCCAAAGCATTAACTTATGCTTTTTAGACTTAACATGCTTCACAATGTCGCTTCTTCCACCGTGACTTATTATGATGTCACACATGCACATGTTGCAAAATGCATTGTTATTTCCTTTGAAGGAATCTTTAATTGTAGGAAATTCGGTTTTGTAGGCAGGCCGAAAATATTGAGAATACCTTTTTTTTTTAACTCACTTCATAACAACGACATATTAAGAAAATTCGTAGCACGTGCAAACACACACACCACACACACAAAAAAAAAAAAAAAAAAAAAAGAGAGAGAGAATGCGACAATCCACGCTCGCTGAGTAATTCCCTTGTTGCTGAAGTGAACGTGGAAAAAATAATCTGGCGCCCACAAAGAAAAGAGTGGGAGAAACAAGTTCAGCGCATTGGATTGGCTGGTTAAGCGGCGAGTTGGGAGAAACCGCAGGTTACTGGATTCGAAGTAGTCGGCGGTAAAACACGATGCAATTGGCGAAAAATTCTAAATTTCGACAAAAATCACTAAAAACACTTGAAAAAGGAAAAAAATCTTAAAATATGGATTACGATCTTCAAATCGTAAAGACAAACGCATTTTCGTAAAAATTATGAAAAATTTGTAAAAGTTGGCAGGTATGGGACGGAGAGGGGAGGAAACTGCTGTGGAACTGGAAAACTATTTTGGGCGGTTTGGTATTTTAAGGATACAGGTCAGTAAAGGGTCTGGATTTCAAAGAGTTAAATGCAATAAGCTATATATTTTTTCCAACTTTGAAAAGTTTATGGAACACCTGGATATCCCAATATCATCAAATTTTGCTTTAGAACCTCTGACATAAATTAAATTTTTTTTACAGAGGTCATTACTTCCGAACACACATTGCCAGAAAAAAACCAGTTTTGTTAATATAATGTAGAAATAAAATGAAATGGCACAAATGTAAGTCTTTAATTTACATCTGACAGGAACAAAACTGGGTGTGGTTAGGTTCTGCCTCACTGGCTAAAGAGCACATCAATCTTTTTAAGCTACGACTACATACGGGATGCTTTCCCCTCTTTTTGGCATATCCATGCTGGGATCTCAATCGTGAACAAAATTGCATCTATAGCACACCTACTTTAGCATTAGTCACTATTTCTACACTTTAACAGAAAATAATATAATTTTAAAAGCCCTTTTTTCCCTCTCCTGCAGATGGTTTGGAGATCTGAATATTAGACTTTTGGTTACATGGTAATACCACTACATTTAAAGGGCACTTAAACAGTGTTTTCTACTGCAAAGAAGGTGGCGCCAGTAACGTTTTTGCTACCAGCAATGGTTTTAGCAATATAAGGTTACGTTTTGAAATAAAACATGATAATATTTATTGCGTAGCGTGTTGGTAAGTTAAATTTTAACTATAAATTACCTAGTTCAACATGGTATTTAATACAATTCATGTTGGTAGAAAAGCATGATGTTAAGCATATGTAAGTAACGATTAACATAAAAAGAAACTAAAGTAAATGTCATTATTATTGGAATGCATTCGTAACTCTACTATAACAGTTTAAAAAAATGTATACTTATATCTTACAATACTTTGCCTCCTTTTTCAGATTTTTATGCCCCTTAAAATGGAACCCCCTTAAAAAAAAAAAAAAAAACACTATGAAATATGTATTGCAGGATACATATTACTCAAAAGGGGCATAATCTTCAACTGTGTTTAAAATTTCTATGAATGGATCTTGCCGTTAAATGGACGCCAAAAGAGTTATTCGAATACATGACCAGCTAAATTTTCCTTGTGAGGACTTTTTTTGGGGGGTATGTGCACCAGTTGCCAGATTAACGAAATCTGTGGATCAATTCACAATGTGATGTACAAATTACCCATTCCTGCCTAAAAGTGAATATCCTTTACAATATAGTTCCATTTGTCACCTGCTTCTTAATCAGTGCCATCAGAATCTCTGCTGATCTGTTACTTGCAGTAAACATATTTTCAATGAAGGCAATAATCCTTTTGAAATGCACCACTGCAGATACACATCTGTCTCAGATAACTTCCTTAACTAAAAGAAAATAATTTCATCTATTCATAATAAAAAAATTCAAAAAAGATAATGGGGAAATCAGACAAAATAAGAGTGAATAAGTGATAAATTATACCTGCAGAGGCAAAAAATGAGTGTGATGCCACAAGCAAAATCATGAACAGCAATGTAAGGATCAAAATGTAACAGGAATATATTCACATGTTCAGAGGCTGCTACATCTGAACATGCGAATCCGTTTGAAATATTATTACATCATTTGCTGTATTTACATTCTCTTATTCTTTCTCTGTGGAAGTGCTTCCCATCATATGTTTCTATATGGGCTAAAAAAATGTCCTTGGGTAGAAAATGCAGCAAATACTTTCACACTCCTTAATTTCAACTAAATAAACTGTCAAAATTTTGAACAGCATAATAAGAATGGTACAGCTTGAGTATAGAACTAGAATAGCATAGAATAAGAATAGACTTTAAAGCAATAATCACATTAATAAAAATTTCTGAAATACTACCTGTTTCTGCAATGTTCTACTGTATTTCTAAAGTTTTTTACTCATAAATAAAATTACCCATGCCGAGAAGTAGAGTCGCTGAACACTGGTAGTTTGACCTGGGATAAAGACCCAGCAAATGGGCTGGCTGTATAATTGGTGTTTCCCATATGTGAGATGGATATGAGCCAGCTTCCTTAACAATGCCTCCATAAAGGCACCCATTCTCATCAGCTGATAGCTTTTGAGATGGTTTGCCATAATCAACACAATTTAACCCATTACTGCCCCCCCAAAAAATTTTGGATTTCCAATGAATATTTTTGTTAAGATAAAATTATTAGATCCAAGAATTCTTTAGCCTAGAATGGACAAATATTTGCAAATTTCTTTGATGAATAATATGAGGTAACTTAAGTTATTTTCACTTAAGCATAATATTAAGAAGAGATCATTCTTAATTTTGTAATGAAATAATTATAATTCCACTTTTTTAACTATTTAAAGTCTTTAAATTCGTTTTCCAAACTGCTATTAATATTTTCTGTCAAATAAGCAGCACATAAGACTTCTATTAACTCGTATGACACCTCTCCAAACATTACAGCAATAATTAAGGACACACAGAAATATTATGTTTAACTTAGTTCAGAAGTTTTGAAGAAACTGATAATATGTTGTTTGTATATGAATAAGCCTCTTTAAACATTACCATAAATTTTTTAACTTGGGAAAATCACATGGAAAGCTTCACCACTTAGCCCTATAGCCTTAAAATTAAATGAATGATGTACACAAAATTAACTTTTCGACTAATCGTAAGAAATAACAATGTTCAAGATAAGACATTAACAATTAAATTTTACTATCGGAGATATAAAAATAAGAAAAACACACTACCAGGATTTAATACTTATGGATAAAGTAAAAAAAAAAAAAAAAAAAAAAAAAAAAAAAAAAAAAAAAAAGGAGGGCGATAAACAGCAACAAAAATATTCTTTATTTACTCTATCATAGACAGCAATTACATTTGTTCATGACACAATCCACACTTCTGAATTTCAAGAATGCAGAATTAGAATAGTAAGTATTTAATTTATTGAAAAACTATGATGCATTAAGCCTAATGAGGCAACTTGAAGACAAAATGAAAAATAAAGTTTTAATTTATTACTCACTTCAAGGGTGAAAGAAATTAAAGTAGTTCTTACCTGTTTCTTTTGAGCGACCATTTTGATCAAAAGATAAATGTGACTATAAAGAAATTTAATCCAAAATTTTTACGCGTTTCAATGGAATTCAATCACCACGTTCTACTCCAACGAGTTGAGTTGTAAAGACAGACAGACAAAATAGACAGATGTCTTCTGTTGCACCTGCTAAGTCTTTCTGCACCGATGGGCGAAAAATCAAGCATAGGTGCGAAGGAAAGGTATATAGTAGAAAATACGAGTTCGAAAGGCCAGGAAGAAAAGAGATGGGACAAAATAAAATAAAAAATAAATGGCTCAAAAGTAATGAAGTAATGGAGAGAAAAAAAAATATATCAATAGTTTAAAAAAAAAAAAAAAAGGCCTATAGAAAGAAAAGGAATGGAAGTAAGAGAATTTTTTTGGAAAAAAACTACGATTGTGCCCATGAGTGTGGTCAAAAAGGGGAGGAAGTTGTTATCATTTACATCAAGTAGAGTCTTCCAGGTGTGTGTAATGAGTGTGTTTTGTAAAGTTGAATAGATGTGAAGATGAGGGGAAATTAATTATAAAAATATAAATATTGGGGGTCCAGTCACATAACAGTATAAGTCTAGCTTAGAAGCTAACTTTTGCTATGACAAGGAAACTAAAATTAAAAAAAAAAATTAACATAGGGAAACAATATGTTAGCCTCTACCTTGAGACACAGTAACAAAAGACACATAAGATCAAAGTACATATAATATCAAGAAAAATATGTTAACTAAAGTAACATCATCTATTGCGGTTTCCAACATATTCATATATTATTCAGAAAACAGCATCTGACAAAATCATAAATCCAAACAGTAAAAGCAAGCAAAAATCAAAGCAAAGATAAATAAGTAAATAATTTACAGAATTAATTTTTATTTTAATATTAATAATTTTTTTAAAATAAGCATTTTATTTATTTAATAATTTAACCATCGTAATTTATTATATTTGTAATAGTTTATCAAGTTGAGGCACACTGTATTAATATATGCTTTTAATTTCAATAAATAGGAAATACAGATTAATTTTTGTCTCTCATATGCGGAAGGAACAAAACCGCAAATCTGCACATTCATCAAGGCACAAGATTGTGTTTTTTCCTTCTCGAGAAATTCCTCAAAGGGATCTGCTTGGGTAGTACTACCAGACGACACTACTGATAAGGATAGCGTCCGTACAAAATGGTAACTAAAAAACAAAAAAAAAAAAAAAAGTACCACATGATTTAGAGCAATTAACTAAGTATTTAATGCCAGAACATAATAAAATGAGCATAATAATAATAAACATAATAAATAAATGAATTTAAAGATACTTTAGTAACATATATTTGATTTAGTTTAAAGAAAAGAAGTTCTAATTATCTGAATGTTCTGTCTTCGTGTTGTAAAAGATTACAAGGAAGATAAGACCTTTAGATACAGGAGAACTTTCGGTTTTGAGAACGAGACATTGTAAAGGATATTCGCGAAAATGTTTCTTAAGGAAAATTGTTGAGTTGTAAAAAGTGCTACGGAGGGAGATCGGGCCAGGGAGTGTAAAGTGAAGCGGGCAAAGAATATATAAAACTAAAAAGGTTTTTATATTGATACAAATCCAATTATTAAATTTTTAATCGTGATAGGAAATACATGAAAGTTATATTTAATCAGCTATTTTTCTACTAACTACACGCGACTGCAGAGATATGTTCGCCCTTTAGTTGCAAAGATGTGTGAAGATGATGTGCTCTCCACTGTGTATGGATTTATGAGTTTGTCTAACCCTGTTTTCTGAAAAATGTATGAATATGTTGGGAACGGTAACAATTAATTTTACTTTAGTTAAAGTAGTATAGACTTTTATCTGATGTTATTTGTCTTTCGTTGTTGTGTCTCGAGTAGAAGACAAACATATTGCCTTGCTTCCCGTGTTAGGACTTACCATTTTTTTTATAAATTATTAATTTTTTTTTTAAATTTTTACTTTACTGTCTTAGCTAAAGTTTTAACTAAACTTAAATTGTTATGTAACTGAACCCCAATTTTTCCCCCAATCCTCACATCTGTTCAGCTTTACCAAACACATTCACTACACACGCCTGGGAGACACTATTTACTGTAAATGAACACAGCTTCCTCCCTTTTTGACTAAACTTATGGACACTAATCGTATTTTAGGACATTTTCTACTTCTTTTCCTTCTCTTTACCTTCTTTTTTCCCCCATCTATTACTTTTGGGCCATTTGTTTACGGGCCCCATTAGGGGTACAATAGCGCCACCACAATTGACTTCTTCATCTCAAGTAACATTACTAACAGATGCAATATTTCTGTAATCCCAACCATCTCTTCCGACCACAACCCCATTGTACTTGAAATCCCCATTAATAAATGCCCCCCTCACTAGACAGATGTATTGGAGTTACAATTTGGATCAAATACTCAGAAATTCTGAATAACTCCATTCAAGGAAATCCATGCATGAACAACAAAGAAGAATTAGATCAAGAAGTCTCAAAATTTACCAATTGCATCAATTCTGCATTAAGGGAAGCCACCAATACGTTTTACGTGAACAAGCCTTTCCTCCCCCTGCCTGCCGGTATAAGAAATAGTATTAGAGAGAAAAACCGACTCGTAAAAGATGGCAAACCACCAGGGATCCACAACTCAAACGTGAATTAAACTCAATGTGAAAACTCCCTGTGACATCCTGCCCACATAAAAAATAATACCAAAATTGACACATTTCACGCTTAATTGACTCTGACGTTTACACCCGCTGCTTCATCGTTTAACGTCACTGACTTCACCCCCCATACGCCACCGCTAGCGCGGACCAGATTTTCTTCTCAACATCTCCCACACCTCCTACTACACTGTTCTTTCTTTTTACCCTAGAATGCTTATCAGAAGCTGAGTAGAAAGATAGATATTTCTACATTTTGACACTCGAGAATAAAATACGATCTTTATCATCTATTAGCACCAGTGAGAAGTGCTGCAGTGCACGAGTTTCGCATGACCTTGAAGATGGTAATGACCTTGGGATTCGATTCTGGGTCTGTTTAATGCCAGTCGATTAGCACAAAAGAGCTGTCGTGTGCTAGGTTCAAGAATTCCAATTCTTTGAAATTTGCGACCGCTGAGTTCCTCTCGAGATCGCTGCACACTCCCCTCCCAAACACTTCTGAAGCGATATGAGGTTTATGGGCATAGTAGCGACAATGAACATGAAGGGGGAAGAAGGCAAGCTCTCGTAGACATAATTGTAAACCAGCCTGGCTAGCCTCAGGCGACTTTCGAACCGAAGCCAGCATGCGGTGAAGCAAAAGCACAGGGTGCTGGCGAAATTCCTTCTACTTGAAATGTTAGTGAAGCATAAACCTGCTTTTATTTGAGAATTAGCTTTTGCTGTTATTTACAATTTACTTTGCGTACGAGGTTTTTTATTTTACAGAAAAACTTTTCAATTTTCAATTAATCATTTTCGCACTTACATATTTAATATATGATTACTATTATATTAATATTTCTAATGTAATATTAGTTTAAATTATGCTTTCATTTTAAATGTGTCTGGTTATATGTTTCCATAAATAAACTCATAGATGTAACATTTATTACTAATTTAAAAATTGCGAAACTTAACCCTTTGCAGTGGTCACCTTCCCAAATATTGACTGCGTCCTTAGCTTCTTGGTTTTAGATTAACAGCGAAGCAACCTAGTCTTACTTCTCAGCTGCCGGAGCGTCGCAAATGTAAGCAAACTAAGTCATAGGTAGAATTACAGCAAATTATTAATAAGGACAAGTTAATACTTCCAAAGATGTTTTCGAGCTCTTTCATTGTGCAAGAGAATTCGAAAACATTTTTATTAGGCTTAGTGTTTTAAATGTTTCGGAGTAAGATTTAGGTTTTAATTTAACAGTTAATTTGAAATTGCTTCTGTTAGATGTTATTTTGTTCTTTCCAGAGGAGGTTTTTAGGATAGTCCATTTTGTGGTTAGCGTCATTATTATGTTAAAATTTGAGGGATTTGATGAAGTTTGGTTTTTAGAAATTTTGGGCAGCCATTGGTTCTTAAAAGTAAGGCAGACAATCTGCATTGCATAGGAAAACTTCATACTACTTTCAAATGTTCCTGATTTTAATCTGGGTTATAAATTTTTAAAAAGATGTTCCAATGAGAGTTTCTAATTCAGTTGCTCATTACTAACGATTTTTTCATTACCTTCTTATGTGATGAAATGAATTTTTAACGAAATTAAAGTCGGCAACTTAAACATATTTATAAGATTAAAGAAATAAGAATTATAAGTTTTAGCTAAAGAATTCACTTTTTTAAACCATTCAATATAGTGCTCTGACAGTTCTCAGATATTGCCGGCGGTTTTGGATCGCAGTCGGGGATGAATTTCAAGGTCTGTGTTTTACGCCTTCACATTTTAGACTGAATTTGTCTCCGTGGCGTTGAAGCTTTACTTCTCTCAATTCAAATTCTTTGGTTACAAGTTCAGTTGATGTGACTGATCGTTACGCTGATGGCAGTGGCTGAGGCTCCAGTGTCTGAGCGTGCTCAGTTAGATCCATTTAATGGGTGGATGAGAAGTTTCGAACTGTTGGCATTTGTGTTAGGTCAACACCGGCTCTACTTGAAGCGTAACTGTGCGGTTTGAAAAATTCTTGTGACGTCACGACTTCTAGTCATAACAAACTTCGGAACGGAGGAAGTGGCTCATTGCTGAAGTTTGTTGCGTTGCGGGAACGCTGAGTTCGAATACTTGGATTTTTTAGGATGTGTTTTAGAAATATTACTTCATTACTTTACATCTGTAAATTTATATTTCTCTAATTACATCAATATTTTTAGGCGTATGTTCTAGAACGGTTCTAGGAAAAAAAAAGTTCAATAATGAAGAATCTGCATGTATGTATGTTTCTGGCACTGTGGAAAAATGACAGTATCTATAACCATGAAATTTTGAGTAACGTAATCCTCCACCTGAACTTGGGCATGTGGAAGCCCGAATTTTTAATTTCGAATTTGTTTTATTATGTATTTCATATTTTGTAAAATTTTAATGAATTTTTGATTAACAAATTCAATAATTTCAAAGCAAACAATAGCAGCACTGTACGGAAAAAAAACATTCT